GTTCCACCCCCACACTGTAGCTGGACTAGTACAAGGAGGTGGAGTGAAGAGAAGAGTAGAAATGATGCAGAAAGCAGAGCCAGCGCTGGGCCTGTTGCTATAGGAAGAGAAGAAGAGAACATCCTAACTGGTAAAATTTTGACTGTTAAAGCCTGGATTACTTTAAGAGGTACTAGATCTTGTTAATGAATTAGCAGGGCTTCACTTCAGAGAAGGTCCATCAGTGATTGTGTTATTCCAGAAGTGTTCACACAGCACCCCTGGGCCTTAAAATGCAAGACACTTTAAATTCTGCACAATTCTCTACAGCTTCGTGGCTTCACAACCATATGTGGTTTCCAGACTCACTTCTTTCTTTACAAGAAGGTCCTGCCATAAAACCACTACTTAGAAGCTCAGCATAGTATTTTTCTTTACCTTCAGTTTAATCAGAACAGCCTTCCTTAAGGAATGTAATAATAATATATACTTGCAGGGCTGGTGCAAGGATATTTTGCGCCCTAGGAGAAACTTTCACCTTGCGCCCCCCCTACTCCTTCCCTGCCCCTGGAGCATCGCTTATTATAAACTTTCAAAAATGAATACTGCATAATGTGGCATTGTTCATTAGAATTAATACATGTTCGGCTTGAAAATGTATTAATTTCATTATTTAGTCTACATATTTAATTAAAATAAATGGCCTTGGGTCTCCTGCATATGGCTAGAGTCCCTCCTGCCCTCTCCCCCCCCCCCCCCAATGGATCTGGAAAGAGCTGTTTTGGGGATCAGAGCACAGAGCTGGGAGTCAGGATCTGGCTTCTATTCTCCACCCTGGCACCAACTCACTGGATAACTTCAGGCAAGTTACTTCCCCGTTCTGGGCTTCAGCTCCCCCCAGCGCTAAGGTGTGAAATGGTTCCTTGCTCCTGGGCTGGAAAGTGCAATGCAGGCAGGAGGCGGTGTCTGAAGGCCTGTCTTCCCCACAGGTGTGAGGCAAGGACAGAGTTCCAGCCTCCGTCATGACCATCCTGGTTGCTTTACTCTGCCCCATGCCAATCACTGCTGAAGCTCCTTACTCGGAGAGCTCTGGCCCAGGGCAGAGGAGTCAGTGTCATTCTGGGCCTGATTTTCAGAGATGCTGAGCTCCTGTGGTTCACCCGATGTCTGTGGGAACTCCAGGGTTCTCAGTACTTCTGAAACTCAGGGCAATTTATTTCAAATGCTGGGCCAGGACTGAGCCTGCAAAGGCAGGTCCATATACACCCCTCAATCCACAGCAGATTTCCCATCAATAACAAAACAAGCAATCAGGAGAATGATGAGGGCAGTTGACCCAATGCTGGGAGTGGGGAGGATATGGTCCTAATGTGGTCACTAAACTTCTACTTAGTAAAGTTACTGGTGCATCTGCTGTCATTCAGTGGGAGAACAAAAGTCTCTTGGGTGCTGCAGCCTGCCCAGGGTTCAGCTGCACTTAACCTGAGTTGCTCGCACACTTGCAGTGGTTGTGCACCATGCAACTGGTCACCCATGTTACATGAAAATCTGGCTCTGACAGTGTCGTAATTAGACTTAACAGTTACTGCTGTATTTCCTAGAGCTGTTGTCCCAGGCTGGCTGCAGACTCAGGTAGACAGAACTGTGTCGGCTAGACGCCCATTACCTTTGGAAGATTTTCCTTGTAGCCATAAGGGCTCGAGACAGCTGTGTTTCTTCACTGAAAACTTGTAGTGTGCTGCCCCTGAATCCCAGATTAATACCTTGAGTGGGCAGGTGCAGAGCTCAGGGCTTGAAGGCCTCTGGTCTAATGGTCTGAGCCAGCGCAGAACTAGGAGCCTCGATCTCCTGTGTTCAAAGCAGGACTCCGACAATGACTCCCCGGGTGACCTTGGGCAAGTCAAGTCCCTGTTCTTTGCCTCAGTTTCCCCCAAAATGGGGGTCTATTAATCAGCTCCACAGGGCTGCAGGGATGGATGGGGATGAAGCCTTGGAAGGTGGCGCATGCTGAGGATGGTTACACTTTTGCAGCTCTTTAACCCTGTATCCTCTGGCAGGGCCATGATCCACCCCTGCAGGTGGACCAGTAGCCACGGTCTCCTCTTCCTTCCACCCCCCCCCCCGCCACTGCATTGCTGTCAATAGGGCCAGCTACAGGGGGGCTGTCACCCGCTCCGATCTGCAGCCGGCAGCCCTTGGGCAGCAGCCGCTGCTGTGGCAGGGAGTGTGGGACTGCCAGAGCTGGAGGGAACGGGCTAGGGAGTGATGAGGCGGCTCGGGGAGGAGGTGGCTCTGGGCTGGCAGGGGGGGGGCATGGGCGGGCAGTGATGTGGGGCGCGGTGGAGGGAGGCGGCGGGGCCCGCGATTGCAGAGGATCGCCTGCAGAGGTAGGTGCTAACATGGCTGCGAGCGGCCCATCCCCCCGCCGGGAGCAATAGTGTAAAAAAATTTTTTGGGCACTGCTTTTTGGCGCCCCTAAATCTTGGTGCCCTAGGTGGCCGCCTAGTTCGACTAGTGGTTACACTGGCCCTGTATACTTGATATATGTAGAATGCTTTTCCTCCATAGATCTCAAAGCCCCAGATTTTTAAAGGTATTTAGGCTTTGATGTGCTCAGTGCTGCAATGTCTAACTGATGTAGGGGACTAGGTCTCATTTTTCAAAAGGGATTTACGCTCTTAGGAATCCAAATCCCATAGACTGTCAAGGGGATTTAGGCTCAGGCATCTGCTGACATATGATCGTTTGGGGGAACCTAGTGACCTACAGATCTCTGGGGTTCCGTGGGGGGAGAGTTGCTTCATGGGAAATCCCTGGGGGCCTGTGGGTTGGACACTGGGGATGCTCTTGACCAATGGGGGGCTCTGAGTCTCCTGTTGGGCAATTCTAGGCTGTGGATCCCCACCTTGCTGGGAACAGCAAAGACTATTTTTTTGGGGAGTGGGGAGAGTGGTAACCCCTTGGGGTTTAGAGAGCATGTCCCCTTTAAAACCTCATCTTAAAGCAGAGGAGGTGCTGGTTGTTCCAGTGGGGAGGGGGTTGAGAGAGCGAGGAAGAGTGATAGGTGTGAGTGTGGCCTTTACATAGCAAAGCAGCCGAGAACCAGCCAAAATGCCAGGAAGGACAGAGTGCCAGCCAGGAACATCCCAGGATGGGAGGCAGGAAGAGCGCTGTGCCAGGAAGGAATCACCTGAGAAGGACAAACTGAAGCCAGACCCAGTATTGCCATCGCCCAGAACTATACTGGTCTGTGAGTACTGGGGCTTGTGACTTTGCACTGGGAACTAAGGAGGGAGGTTGTAGCTAGTTAAGTGAGGTTGTTGCACTGTGTGGGTGTGCAAAGAATGGCTGAAGAGGGCACTGGAAAGGTTTGTTGGGAAAAGTTTACTGGTGCCAAAGACAATCAGGAGCACCCAAGAGTCACTGCTGGACTAGAACTCTGCCAAGGATTCCTGAGGTCTGAATCTAGATGCATTGCTCAGTGTCTATCCTTTTATATGAGGGTAATGTTGGGCCCGTGGGTCCTTGTGTTGTATGTAACTCTGCTTTACTGCTCCCCCTCTCTCTTCCCTCTGTTTTCCTCCATTCATCCCACTGTCAATAAATATTTCCTTTGCCTGTATTCATTGTACTAATTCAGTGTGCGTATGTATTTAGTCAGTGGGGTTAGGAACAGGTGCTCCTGGGGTGGAAGGGAGATTCTCTACTGTGTTCCTGCATGTGCCTTTTCTTGGCTAGAGCTGCCCTGTAGAGCGGACTCCATCTTGGCCATGAGCGTAGGGTGGCCAGATGTCTGGTTTTTTGACCGGAAAGTCTGGTTGAAAAGGGGACCTGACCGAGTGTCTGGTCAGTAGATGTGACTGGATACTAAGTCTGGTTACGGCGAGCAGGGGAGGTGCCAGGTCATCACCCACTCCAGCCCCTACTCAGCCTGAGCCGCCTCCTGTCTTCATCAGGCGGCTGCAGCTCCCAGCCCCAGCTCCACAGATAAGTCCCTCCTGAGCCGGGTGGGAGGGGGAAAAGCAGCGAGGAACTTGGGGCAGGGGGGAAGAAGAGTGGATGGGAGCAGGGCAGAGGTGTGTGGGGGAAGAGGCAGGGCAGGGGAGGTTCTAGCACTTCTGCTAGAGTGTCTGGTTTTTAAATATTACCAAGTTAGTAACCCTACATGAGGGTGCTGTAGTTATACTGAATATGGGAGGTGACCCACTAGAGAGCTGTTGCCAGAGCTGGCCTGCAAGATACTCAGAATTTATGGATGGTGAGGCCAAGGCCCAGTTTGCAGTGCAGCAGAAAATTTGAACACGACTGCCTAGGTACTACTGGGACAGATGTATTAGAAATCCCATAGAGAGGCAGCTAGGAATAGAGTTGGTAGAATAATCAGCATGAATAATGTATTTGAGTGCTTCCCCATCAACTATTCAATAAAGATTTTCATTATTCAAATGCCTCTGTACTACTGTGATATTATTTTGTGAATATCTTTGACCAATCTGATACATTAGTAATAACTTCCTTCCTTATTTGACCAGCACTAGATGGGACTAGACCTGCTGCTGCTGTCTGACCACGTGGGTGGAAGGAAGGGAAAGGAGAGATTAGGGGGAAATTAACCACTCTGGGAGGGTGCCCACTGCCCAGCATCTTAACTCCAGATCTGGGTGCTACTTTCCCCAAAAGGCCTAGAACTACGGAGAGGGGCACCCTAGCGCCACAGCATTGGACCAGGGTCTTGGGGGGCGGGGGGGACGTGGATCTGAGCTCGTAACTGAGGGGCTGTCCCACCCACCATTGCAGTCGCTGCCCCACGTACTGGGCAGTGCTCAGCACTAGGCTGTTGCGGCGGAAGTGGGGAGCAATCCGGCCCCTCAGCGCTGGGGCGGCCAACTTCCCCTTTAAGCTGAGGAGGCGGCGCGGGCGGTGTGTGTCGGCAGAGATACTGGCCGGCCGCCCTTTAAGACTCCGCGCTGCCCTGCCAGTTGCTGCCGTTGCCGCCGTCAGCGCTGAGTGGCAGCTGGGCAGCGAGGACGGAGCCGCTACCTGCTTCTCCTGCCCTGCGGGCCGCAGCGGCCCCCGCCCCAGCCCGTTCTCCCGGCGCCGCGGTGCGAGCGGAGGGGGCCGGGCGGGGAAGCGCTGCCTCCGCTCCGCCTCTGAGCGCAGCCCGGTGCGGGGATGTGCCATTGCCATGGCGAGGCGGCTCTTCCCGGGGGCCTGGCTCAGGAAACGCTACTACGCTCAGGTAGGCCGGCAGCGTGCCGCCCCCCGGCGCTGGGTCGGGGCCGGCCTGTGGGGCGAGGCAGGGGGCGATGTACGGGGCGGGCACCTGAACCGAGGCTAGGGGGAGGGACGTGCCAAGCCCCGCGAAGCTCTGGTGGGTCCGGGCCGGCTCCCCTCTGCCCGCTGTGCAGGGCGCTGCCGTCGCGGCCCCTCTTGCCTTTGCCGTCTGTGCGCGACACAGAGGCGTGGGCATCCCCCAGCCTGGCGTGGGCGCAGTTATCCCCGCGCGTCAGGCTGAGCGGGGCGGCACCAGCCCGCTGCCCTCACTCCTTCAGCTAGGCGCGCTCCAGCTGGCCGCGGGGCTTGGGCAGCTTCCAGGAGTGGGATGCGGAGCAGCCTCGGCCGCTTGGCAGGTTAGACATCACGGGGCTGTGAGACCGGTAGTGTCGCAGGGGCACTTGCAGCGAGACTTCATTAGTAAGATCTAAAATGGGACCCTAAAACGCCAGCCGCTAAGTTGAAGTGTCAGCACTAGTGTCATGTGCCTGTCACGGGTTAATGCAGGTGTATAATGCCACACCATGTGCGCGCGCTCTCTCTCTCTGTATTTACTTTTGAGGATAGTGTATGTTGATGGCTGGTCTCACTGGTTCTTCATCAGGCCTCCTAACACACTGTCATAGGTCTCTTATCAACTCCATCAACCACCTTAACCAACTCTCTTTAGCACTGCAGTGTTGATGTTCATGTAGTGTGTAAAGTCATCTCTGACAAAAGGTTCAGAGAAGGGCAATTAAAATGATTAGGGGTTTGGAATGGGTCCCATATAAGGAGAGATTAAAGAGGCTAGGATGTTTTAGCTTGGAAAAGAGGAGACTAAGGGGGGATATGATAGAGGTATATAAAATCATGAGTGATGTGGAGAAAGTAAATAAGGAAAAGTTATTTACTTGTTCCCATAATATAAGAACTAGGGGCCACCAAATGAAATTAATGGACAGCAGGTTTAAAACAAATAAAAGGTTGTTCTTCACACAGCGCATAGTCAACTTATGGAACTCCTTGCCTGAGGAGGTTGTCAAGGCTAGGACTATAACAGGGTTTAAAAGAGAACTGGATAAATTCATGGAGGTTAAGTCCATTAATGGCTATTAGCCAGGATGGGTAAGGAATGGTGTCCCTAGCCTCTGTTTGTCAGAGGGTGGAGATGGCTGGCAGGAGAGAGATCACTTGATCATTACCTATTAGGTTCACTCCCTCTGGGGCACCTGGCATTGGCCACTGTTGGTAGACAGGATACTGCGCTAGATGGACCTTTGGTCTGACCCAGTACGGCCATTCTTATGTTCACAGGGATTATCAGAAACCAGAGAAAGAGGCTGGCATGTGGACTAATGTGTGTAACAAGTTCCAAACTGCCGTTCAAATGGCTAGCTGCACCCGTCATATTACCAGTGGCTTTGTGCCACCGCTGTATTCATGTTTATTTATATATATATGTATTTATATATATATTTTTTAACTCTACAGACATCCATTCCATTGAGAAGAAAATGACAGGGTTCAATAACAGTTTAGACTAAATGTAATTCTTTATATGGGCAGCAAGATGGTTCATTTTTGACACATCTGCCCTAAAAGCAAACCATTTGAAAGGGATCTGTATTTTGTTGTTGGGAAGAACTGTATCTTGTATATACAACAGATGCTTCACCCTGCCTGTGTGCTCATGCATGTCCTTGTGTGTGTACCTCCGTATGTAATGTAGGCAGCATAAATGTATGCTATGAATATATATTACATAAATTGTCTGTGCATACACTTCCCCCATCTGTAATATTAGGGTAATAATAACAATCTTTGTAAAGTAACTCAAGATTTTTTGATAGAAAATGCTCTTTGCCTTAAGAATACTTTGTGATATGGAGTCTCATATTGAAATCCACAGACTAACTATGAGCTCAGTCTAGGAATATCTTCAGGCATATGGGGAGGAAATTCCTTTTATCTGCTTCATATTTGCATTTTCATTTCAGTGGGTGTCCATTGCTTTTTCTGTTTTGAGAGAGGGTAAATAGAGCACTTGATTAATCTTCTCTGTACTATTATTCAATTACTACGTCACCTCTTTCCTCATTCTTAAACCTAGTAATCCTAAACTATCTTCTTCATCTCTTTGTACTAAAGTATTTCCATATCTAGTCATTTAGATTGCCTTTCTCTAGAGACCTTTATAAGGGGTATTCAGAGTGGAGGGGTGTAACAATGCTGGTTTTGGTGAGGCCCAATTGAGAGTGCCAATTCAGGACAAATTGCTTAAAGCAGGGCAGTTACAGCCCAAGGCTGGGAGTTTTCCACCTCTAAAGTAAAGCAAACCAAAGCAGAGAGGACTTTGGTTTTCCCCCACTGGCTAACCACAAGTCACACAAGCAATTCCCTTAGACACTCCAGTTTCCCAGTATCACCACCAGTGCCACTCGTTATGGGGATAAATGGTTATGAAAACCAATGCCCCAGTAAAAGAAAAAAGGTTCTCCCGATCCCAAAGGACCAAGTCCCAGACCCAGGTCAATAGACAAATCAGATCTTGCCCACAAATCACGCTGTTGCCAATCCTTTAGAGTCTAAAGGTTTATTCATAAAAGGAAAAAGATATAGATGATTGACGTTACTGTATGTAATTGATTCCATTTAACCAAAGTTCTTGGTTCAGGCTTATTGCAATGATGGAATAAGCTTTCAGGTTCAAATCAAGTCTCTGGAGTACATCCCCAGCTGGGATGGGTCATCAGTCCTTTGTGTAGAGCTTCCATTTGTAGCAAAGTCCCTTCAGAGGTAAGAAGCAGGATTGAAGACAAGATGGAGGAGCTGCAGCAGCTTTTTATAGTCTCTTGCCATGTGGTCTCTGCTTTCTTTGGCCCAAAGACAAGCTGTCAATCACATGGCATGGAAAAACCTCAGAGTTCTGTCCATAGGCATGTCCCTGCATACCTTGGTGAGTCACAATGTGTGTCTGCCTTCTCTCAATGGGTCAGTTGTATAGCTGATGGTCTTTAATGGGCCATCAAGCAGGCTAGGCAGAGCTGACACCAACTTGTCTGGGGTGTCACCCAGAAGCATAGCATAAGTTTGAAATACAGACAGTATAGAACCAATATTCATAAGTTCAACTACAGAAATGATACACACATATAGACAGCATATCATAACCAGCAAACCATAACCTCTCCGTAGACCCCTTACCTGACAACCTTTATACAATATTTGCTGCAAATATATAACAGTGGTTGCAACAGTCATCTATACTAGTTACAGATTATGTCAATAACGTCACACTAGACCTTTATAGGGGGTATTCGGAGTGGAGGGGATAGTATTGACTTCTATAATGATGATGCTGTTTGGTATGCAATATTGTCAATAACATTTGCATTTAAAATGGGAAGGGTTATCCTTATAAGCAGGTAACTAAATAAATAGTTTAAAGAACTTTTATCTGTTGAAGTACGTGCTGTAAATTCATTTAAAAATAAAATGAGACACTTGTACAGGCTTCCTAGCTAGGACCCTCCAAACTAGTTGCCTCCTCTACCCTAATATAACTCAATCTAACCACTATCAAATCTCTGCTTTACCTCCACTCACCCCTCACTGGACTTGGGGTGGGAAAACGTTGGCTTTTGAAACCACTTTTTGCAGAGACATAATTTTGAAATATACAGAAAACATGAGTCAGAACGTTGATAGAACTTCTCATTGGGATCCCTGGAACAATTTTTCTTTTTCTTTTCATTTCCTATTCTATCTATTGGGGAAAAAAGGAAAAGTAGTAGCCATTGTGACTTTGGACTGATGCCTCTGAAAAACTGTTTTATGGCTCTGCTTTGAGAGGGCTAATGAGATGGCCTTTGAGTGTGAATTTATTTTGCTATGTTATGATATGTGCCTTCTGCATATGTAGAATTGGCAGGAGGCTGTCAATATGTTGGCTTTACTTGTCGTTATGTGGTGGTGTTCCCACATTATCTACCTCTTCCTTCTAAAAATCCCAAAGGGCTCACCAGACTTTATATAAAGGGTTCATTTAATCCATTATTGAAATGTAGTTATGTCTGGGATGGAGATTGGAAGACTCTAAACAACACATAGCAATACTACACAGCAGTGCAGGACAGAAAGAGAATATTATTGTAAAGAGAGAAAGCTATTGCCTAGTTCAGTGGTTCCCAACTTCATTGGTTCTTGTACCACCTTCTTAAAAAAAAAAAAAAAAAACGAACATTTAATTGATTAACATCTAGCTCCTGTAGCAAGTTTGGGCCCCCAAAGTTTGGTAAAAACGAGGATGCAAATCTAAACACTTCACTCTTGTTTAATGTGTAAACCAGATAAGAGTAGAAAATTTGGCCTAATGTCTATCTGGCCATGTTGTGCGCCTCAGGCTGTACAAAGGAGCTGAAATCTGGCTGTAGCTGGCTGATTGATAATACCCTGGCCAAGGAGGATGGAGTGGGTTGATCTCTTGGCTGCTGTAAAGTCATCAGAAGGCCCCTCCCAACCCTGGCATCAGGGGCGGCAGGTTTGTAGAATTTTTGGTGGTGCCCAGAATGTCCTCCCCCACTCCCACCTAAGGATCTGGGAGGGAGTTTGGGTGCGGGATGGGACTTGGGGTGCAGGCTCTGGGAGGAAGTTTGGGTGTGGGAGGGGGGCGGGCTCTGAGATGGAGTTTGGGTGCTGGGTGTAGGCTCTGGGCTGCGGCAGGGGGTTGGAGTGTAGGAGGGGGTGTGGGGTTTGGGTGTGAGCTCTGGGCTGGGACAGAGGGTGTGGTACGGGAGGGGGTGCAGGGCATGGGGCTGGGCCAGGGATGAGGCATTTGGGGTGCAGCAGGCAGGCTGCCCCGGGGCTGGGGGCCAGAGAGGACTTTCCCCCCACCTCCCCAACCCCCTCTCTGCCAGCAGCAGCAAGCTTTGGGGGGGGGGGCCCTCCCTGACACTCACCCAAGCGCGCCCCCCCCCCCAGGCT